TGAGAAAAAAAAAAACAAAGCCAAATTATACTGAAACACAGAGGTAACTAAATATCAAGTAAAAGTTTCAGTCGAGCAAAATGAATAAGTGCTAGAGATCTGTTGTACAACATTGCACTTAAAGTCAATATTGTACACTTGAAATTTTGTTAAGAGGGTAGATCTCATGTTAAATGTTCTTTCCACAGAAAAATAAAAACATTTTAAAGTATTAAAAAATATCAAGCAATACAAAGTCCTATAATAAATTTAAACAAAAATAAAAAGGTACCAAACACATTAGCCACCCACTAACTGCCCAAGTGTGCCCCTCCCATAAAAGCAGGGTGGGGCGGCTTCTCCCTTCCCAGAGGCTGCTCCACTTACTTGCAATGGAAATTACTTGTGTTTTACCTATTTCCCTAAAAATCAAAATATGTTCTAATGGGGAAATGGGTCTTCAACCCAAACAGTAGCAGACATTTTCCTGAAGAAATTACTCTGCTGTTGTCAGTTTGCAGACAGAAAGCCATGTTTCATCCTGACCCATGAGGGCTAAATCACTAGTTGAAAACAAACTGCAGGGATGGAATTCCACCAGGAGACCCCATACACAACAGGAGACTGGAGCCTTGCTTTGATAATGCACCTTAGAAAGATATATTCACTTCTAAGGACTTGCTGGGCACATGTAGTCTACTTGAAATGAATGCCTGGGCAGGAATGTAAAGACCAAGTCCCAAGAAAGAAAATGCAAAAATTAGTTAAAAAATGTATCTATTTTCTCCACCAAGAATTTTTGCTTTGTTAACCCCAATTGGGAAAAATACTATAAAATTGTGTTTTACATTGATAAGTAGGTATACTCCTATATCTATTCTCTGTTATCACTGAATATTTTTAAAAGCATGCATTAAGTATCACAGCAGAATATCTGTAATATCAGATGTGGATAATTCGTGTAATCACTAAGAACAAGTAACATAAGAAGAGTTTGTTTTTTTTTTATCTCTCCAAGGGTTACTACTATTAACATAAAACAAAGAGTACTTAGTATAATAGTCCTAATTAATTTTTGGTCTAGTGTTGGGCTGTCCATGTGGCTAGGAAGACTTGAAATATGACTAATTTGTATCAAGACATGCTGTAAGTATAAAATATACTATAAATTTCAAAGACTTAGACGAATGGAAGATATCTCAATAATTTTTTATTATCTAGTGAAATAGTATTGATTATAATGGGTTAAATAAAAATGTTGTTAAAAGTAATTTTATCTATTTTTATTACCCTTTTAAATGTGTCCAATAGAAAATTTGAAATTACACATGTGTCTTATATTACACAGTAGTGCCCCTTATTTGCAGTTTCACATTCTGTGGTTTCTTTGGCCCACAGTCAACCAAGGTCTGCAAATGTCAAGTGGAAAATTCCAGAAATAAACAATTCGTAAGTTTTAAATTGTGCACTGTTCTGAGCACCCTACTGCATCTCATCACATAGTCATTGTCTCATCTCATATCAACCCAAGATATTTTGAAAAGAAGACTACATTCACATAACTTTTATGATATTGTTCTAACTGTTCTTTTATTATTAGTTATTGATGTTAATCCCTTACTATGCCTAATTTATAAATTAAACTTTACCATAAGTATGTGTATATAAGAAAAAAAAACAGTATACATAGGGTTTGGCACTATCCCTGCTTTCAGTCACCCACTGGGGGTCTTGGAATGTGTCCTCCAAGGGTAGGGGGACTGTGTTGGTATTGCACAGTGCTTGGTCTAGCAACAGTGATTCTCAACTGTAGTTGTTCATCAGAATTATCAGAGCTTTTTCAAAAAGGGGTCCCCTGGCCTCTGGTTCAAAATAAATCAGAATCTTGGGAGTCAGGACCCCAAGGTATGTATTTTTATAACACTTTCTAGATAATTCTTAGAATCATTAACTTAGAGGTTAGTGGACATAATCGTGTCCCGGAGCCTTATAGGACAGGGAGTGGAATGCACACTGGTCAACAGTCTCCTGTAACTTATTTCTGTAGAATAAGAAACAACATGCTTGTTTAAAAGGGTAAGAACAGAAAAGAATAATAGTATTGGAGTTAGGAAAAAAGTTGGAACTTGGCTCAAAGCTAGCTAAAAACGAAGAGACCAGAGACCCTAGAATTTTTTTGTAAAGCAAGCAGGCCTATTATATAATAAAGACTTTGGCCTTTATCCCTGGTGAGAGAGAGAGAGAGAGAGAGAGAGAGAGAGAAGGAGAGAAAAAGAGAGAGAGACTAAATCCTTGGAATTTCTCAAGTAACAGAAGTGTCTTCATTATTCATGAGCCCCTTGGATCACACCTGAATTTATGCTGAGAGATGAAATAACTCAGGACAAAGGCTGATCACTAGAAAGACCAAACATGTAATTAGAGGGTTGGGGGCTTTGAGCCAGATGGACTTCTGTGGAGGAGGGACAGGTTGAAGATCAAGTTTAATCATGTGGTTGATGATTCGATCAGTCATACTGCTGTAACGAAACCCTGATAAAAATTCTGGATACCGAAGCTCAGTGAAACTTCTTGGTTGGTGAACACATTGATATGATGGTAGGATGACATACCCTGGTTGCACAGGAAAAGAACAGAGAAGTTCTGTGTTCAGGGCCCACCCAGACCTTACTCGATGTTTCTCCTCACTTGGCTGGTCCTGATCAGTGTCCTTTATAATAAAATTGTGATCATAAGTATAGTGCTTTCCTGACTTTCACCAAGTTGTTCTAATGAAATGTTGAACCTGAGGGTACCACGGAAGCCCCCAAATTTGTAACCAATTGGTCAAAAAGTGGTGGCCTTGTAATGCCACCAGTAGCCTCATCTGAATTAGGAGCAGTTTTGTAGAGAACTGAGCCCATAACTATCGAATCTGCTCTAATTTGAGGTGGTTAGCATCATGATTTAATTGCAATATACCAGTTGGTATCAGAATAACGTCACAATTCCACACTGTAACAAAAACATTTGTAAGAAAATATAAAATCTTCTAAAACAAAATTCAACTTGTAATTACTGAATAAATTATACTCTAAACTGAATACATCATTCTGTGATTTAATTAACATTTTATACTCCTATACTAACAGGAACTTCAGATCTAAAACAAGAATTAGAGTAGTTTTTACATTTTTCTGGTTGTTAGATTATTTTCTTTGCTCCTTTGTTTGCCTTTATCTATACTTTTAAACCTATGCCAATAATAATGATAATAATAGTAATAATAATAATAATAATAATCCAGCAGTGTATCATTTTATATACACACAACCAAAGACTTTCCAGAGGTGACAGAATTATAGTCTGTCCAAGTCTGGTCTTTAATCCATGGGGGTGTGTACATCTGAATCCACTTCAGATGTTGGGAGGGACAAGTGTACAAGGTTTGAAACCATATCAGAAATAATTAAGATTCACACCCTTGAGATAGAAAGGTGAGTAAGATTTCTTAACAGTTAAGGAGCATCTGTCTCATTTTCCAGTCGACTATCCCTCACCAAGCTGGACACATACCCGCAAATAAAAAAGTAGGACAGGGAGTGCAATTCGGAAAGACAAGGGGAGCGATGAGGAGAGAAGGAAATCACAAGCAGCTCTGCAGCCTGACTACAAATCACTGCCCAAAGGGAAGAGGTGGTAGGAAGCAGGAAAAAAAGGAGAATGTCCTGAGAATTACAAAGAGCATTAACTATAGCGTGTAGTTCTCTACAATTATTCAAGGAATGCAGGAAAAGAAAGACGACTGAGGGCTGAGCCCAGTGTGCCGTGAGTACTTCACCACTCGCTGAAGGACAACCATTCGTTTCTAGAAAATGAGATTCTGAAATCCATGGAGGCAAAAAGGCACCGAGAGATGCTTGCTTGCAAGGACATACGCTTTTCTCTGCCAGCCGTAAGGTATATTTGAGGTAGAGAAGCGAAAGGATCTTCTGAGACAAAGAAGAGAAGTACTTTTCCCGAAGATGCCTCTCTGCTCTCTCCTGCTGACCTGTGCTGGATCAACAGTGGCATCCAGTGGCCGAAAGTCTCAGCACACACTTCTTTGTCTCCAGGAAGGGTTTCTACTGCTTTGGGTGAAGTGGCAATTCAGAACAAAGCTATTTCTGGTGTCTGTGACTAAGGGTCCCCAAAGACAGGGTACTTTGTAATATAAAGTGAAGAACCAAAGGCTATAAAGAAGAAATGGAGGGGGGCAGCTTAAGATTGGCTGTGGTATTTATATTTCCTGTGGTATTACTAAAAAGAATGAAAATACAAAAGGGGATGAATGTATGTGTGGGTAGAATTCCTAGGTTTTCACTGCCTCAGAATAGTTTAAAAATAAATGAGTAAACAAGACAAAGTGTTTTCATTTTAAAACCAATGCAATAATAAAACAAATTTCTTCATGTACATTTTATTTTTTTAAGGGCTTAGGAAGGGAAAAATAGTGGAATTAGCATGGCTTAATTAAATCATTTACTTGAATTTAAGTTTGCCCTGGAGTGTGATTTTTAAAAACTCAGTGTCAATTGCTAAATTCAGGTGTCTGTTTTTAGGGAGATAATGAAATTGGATTAGATATAACCTGAATCCATAGAAAAACATATTGAAAAGAAGAGCATTCTAACAAAGATATTTTTATATCCAAATATTCACTTCAACTGCTAAAAAAGTAATTTTCTGGCCAAGTTCCATCAAGAAAATGATAGTAAATTTTTTCTAACTTAAAAAAAAGCCATATTTCCTCAGTGACAAAATGTAAGCAAAAATAAATAAAGTAATCCTAAATTTGCATCTTAATTAGACCACACTTTATTTCTCCAGGTCAAAGGTCAAAAAAGAGTGAGCAGAGGAGACTCCTCTCGTGGTTTAAATTTGCTCATTTTCTGCTCTACATTTCTAGCTGTAAAAAACATGGGACTGTCATACACATTACTCCCTTAACTCTCCTGATGGAGTGCTGGCTGGCTCAGGTGCACATACCGGCTCAAACTCACCTGTTTGGATGGGACGTGGGCAGCATGAACTGGAATTCCACCACGCAGGTGCTGTCCTTAAGCTGGCGGTGCTGTACGCTGTTAAGTTCATAGGCAATATAAGCCCTTCGAACATACACCTGGTTAAAAAGTAATCCTCAGTAAATACACTTTAAAAACACAAGCTAAGAGATGTAGCCCAGGAAAAAGACAGTCTTGAAAAGAGGTGTCTGATAGTAAAGGTGGTCTGTGATGACAGAAGTCTCAAGTCAGTCTGTATAAAAATACGTTGCTTTAATTAACAAAGCTGGAATCTTAAAACTATACCCATAATTATAAATTAAAACAAAACTAGCCTGCCTAACTGGACACCTCTAGGTGTGCCATAAGCCTTTCACACTAACCTAAACACATGAGAAGGCTGGATCATAAGCAAAAGAAAGCATATAGAATCACAACTTATTAACTCATTATGCATGATCATTTCAACAGAAGATAAAAGCAAGCAGTGAAAAAAATGAAAGGTGCGGATTCTGGGCCACTTGAGAAGTGGAGATAGAAGACAGAAAGAATTACAGGATAGTCCAATCTTTTTACTACCTTGTACCTCTGTTTTGTTTCATTTTTCCATTGCCCAAAATAAATTTTAGATTATTTACATCCCCCAAACACTAGGAAAAAGCACTAGGGCATAATTTGATACATAATATCTCAAACACACTCTTGACTCAAGAGTTAAAAGAAACAGCAACAGGCTACATCTCAGCAAAACCATCAGTCCAACCTTGGGCACTTCACAGACAATTTGCCAAGCACATAAAATGCTACATGGAATTCTATCAGCATCTGAGGTATGTATAAGGAGATTTCTCATTAAATGGCGTGAAAGAACTGTAAAACACTTAGATATTTTTAAAATTTGGTATTTACTGAGTAGGATACATTACACCCTACCCACAGAATACAAATAGAGTAACTCAAAAGAGCTTGTGACAGACTGTAGTGATGTCATATTACATAAGATCATTTAAAACATTCCTTTTCCTCATCTTCAAAAAATATCCACTTGGCAATTGTATAGCAGTATTCAGGGACTGCAATTTTTGTGCTTAATGAGGTAGTGAGCTGTAGTGGAAACAGAAAAGTCTGTGAGTTAGATTCAAATGCAAACTCTTCTACTTATTATCTATGTGAATTTAGACAAGTCACTTAACCTCTGAATCTTCCTTTCTTACTTCATGAAGTAATTGTAGGATTAAATGAGAAAAATAAAGTAAAGCACCTAAAACACAGTTCATTAAATGTTATGACATTTTCCCCATGATGAAATATTTCATAAGAGCTGCTTGACAATACAGGATACAAGTAAAATCCATTTTATTTGGCCTGCATCACAAAATGGTACATGTTCTGATCAGCCCTATATTTTTTCACTTATTGTGTTACAGGAAATCCTAATTCATTATGAAATGGGATAATGAAATATAACTAGAAAGTAGAGACTATTAAAAAGTGCAGGCAGCTGTTTTCCTGTGATGAGAGCCCAGAAACTGATGACTAGTTCTAGAGGAAACATTTGGGTAAAGCATTAGTTTCAGAGGAAAAGAAGATTCTACTCTTAAGAACCAACCTTAAAGCCAAAGAAAAATAACTGATACAATAGCCAAATAGAAGAGATCAACTAGAAAACAAGAAAAAAGTCATGTCATGTTACGTTACTAAGAAAACTTACCTCCAGAGCTGCCATCCTCACTACCTGGTTGCTGTGATAGAAGAAGTTTGGTAAGACATCAAAGATAGACGTTTCAGACAAGATGAGTTTCTGGAAGGTACAAAGACAAACTTAAACCATTGCATCCAAAAGAGAACACTGTCAAAATTTAGCATTTGAAGCATTTTAGTAAAACTTAAGAATTCTGTCTATGAATGCCATGTACAAACTTACCTTCTTTGTGCCTCAGCTTCCTGAAGCTACAAAATGGGGAAAATAATGATAACCTATGCTCTTAGGCTGGTGTGAGCATTCAAAGAGTTAATATATATAATCCTTAGAATGCATGAACAATGCATTAATTATACGTTAATCTGTGTTTATGACTATTATTATTCTTTCTGACATACATCTCTACTCAACTTCTTAAATATCATCTCAGTACTCCACTATGATAAACCAATAGATTTGAACCCCAACTGAAACCCTCTATTTCAACCATAAACCAAATAAACAAAAACGTCTTTCTTCCCTCACTAGGTTTCCCAGAAAGAAATCTGACAGGAAGCCTGAAGATGCCTTTGGCTGGATATAACAATATTATCCTTATGTTCAGGTAGACAAATAAAAAGTCATTCCTGAGAAAATGGTATTTAAAAAATAATAGGTCCTTCCAATTAGTAAAATTTGCCAGTACTCTTTTATAAAATTGGCTCTATATGAAGCTTACTAGGAAGCTTTAAAAGAAAATTAAAGCACAAGACGTAGACTTCAATAAGACACTCAAGCAGACCTATTTGATTTTTAAGCTAAACCACAATTCTAACAGTATTTTTCATGAAAAAATATTCAGAAGTATAACTCATTTTAGTAAGTCAAGGTATAAAACTTCATTACATGAAAAATCAAAATTGATTGATTGCTTACTTAATTAAACTATGCTTGGGAACAAAGGGAACAAGAGTACAGAGAGGTAGAAAAGGGCTGTAAGTATACCTGCAGGTTCTCAATACAAAACTGATGTCCGTACATGTCAATAGCTGATAGGAAGATAGACTCTACTTGGTTATGGCGAAGCTCATATGATGGCAAATGAGAGGCAATAAGAACCTAGAGTGAGAGCAAAATAAGAGGCATAAGTTCCTGAGGGAGTGATTATTCTAGGCTCCTATTAGGCAGCTCTGATACAAAAGCAATAAATATAAATCTCTAAGTGCAGGCATCAAAGATAAAACAGAGACCAAGTAAAACAACTTCTAGGTCCTGTAACATAAAGCCAATGCCACCAAATACTGCATCTCAGTTGACTCTCACCATGATTTGCGTTGTGGGCTATTTCCCATGGGGGGTAGGGGGAAGGGAGAGAAAACAGCTTCAATCAAGTTCCATCAGTGCATGTGATTTACCATTGCAAAGCTGCTAGTCCTGGGGACTGCCTGACTAGCTGTTAATTGGGAATCAGGTCTGGCAGGGAGCAGCTGTGGGGAAGGTGGATGCAGCGGAGCTAGCCTTTTGCAACTCTGAAGTAGAAAGATGGACTAGGAAAAACTGCTCTGACAGCCCCAGGTACTCAGCAGCAAGGAAAAGGCGTCAGAATGTAACACGGATGCATATGAGGGGCAGAGAGAATGAAAGCAGCGTCACAAACAAACAGGGACTCGGTAGGACCTGAATACTCTCAGCAGGTCACTGAGAGGTTCAATAACTTTGAGTAGTTCAGTGACATGGATACAATTGTAGAGAAAGCAGAAGGTCACTGAACAGCTTCAAATGCTGCTTCCTTGTCAGTGCCCATGCACAGAAACACAAAGGGAGCGCCAACTCCAGGCTTCCCTGCTGAAACCTTTTGGAATGGAAATGAAGACTACAGGGTGAAACTAACTGGACTTCTCTGGGGTTGTTCTGATTGCTAGCCCTAAGATTCATTTCATTATCTTTCTGCTTTCCACACTTGATTTTTTCCTATACACTTAAAAGTTTTCACCTGCTTCTAAGCTCCCTTTGGGAAGTAAGAAATATGGAGTCTATTGCCTTCCTCCACATGACCCTGATTTACCATCACAGGGCTAGCAGAAAGGGTGGAGAACCGTAACAGGATTTTATATGGGAAAAGGGCACCTATTTTGAAGAGACTCAATGTTCATCTTTTCCTGTCTCTTTAAAAAATATATACCACATGAAAACATTTGTTCTGAGGGCAATGGGACATAGACATTTGCATCTCTGTAAGGTGACTGAATAAAAGCTCATTGCCCAATCTATGAAAATCATTCCTCCCTCAGGATAACCAACACATGTCCTTACCTGGCGTGCTCGAAGTGCCACTTTGGCATTGGTGGTCTTACTGAGTTGAGTTAGCTCTGTGAGGATATTCAGTAGCTCATCAGTGAGAGTAGGGTCCCGGCCACACAACTGGTCCTAATTGTTTATGTGAAAAATAAACATACACATGTATATTAAAAGAAACTTGTGGATAGGGCTTTGAACTGGGGAAAAGGGAATAAAAACCAAGTAAACACAGTTGGATTAATATAAAAAATGCAAACTTCATGTTTTTTTATTTTGTTTTTGAATCCAAACAATGCGGTAAAGATGATCCCAGAGGAAACTGCTGCTAGAAGAAGCTTAAATCCCTCAGTCTTCAGATTCAAAATTCCGAATGTATTTCTTTATAAATCAACACTATACCTTTGACATGCAGAAGAAATCATTAGAGACCATTAAAAGAGGTCAAGGGACTTTGAGTAAGAAATAACAAGATGATGTTTTAAGAGGTTTTAAATATTAATAATACAGGGACTAACGGCTTCCTGTTCCTTTTTCCCACTTTTGGGGAAAAAGGCAGAATGTAAAGCGAAAGGAACTACTCCTGGTGGTTCTCATTCCACAAACCAAATGTTCAGCATCCCAGGAGGGTGCAAAACAGAAACACAAGAACAAATTATTCATTTATAAACACACACTAAATAAAAACACCATCTCACATTCTGACAATTCTATACCCCAAATCATTTATCCTCCTGCTGCACCAAGAATCATTCCAGGATACCTAAACATGGTGAATCCTTAGATGGATTAGAAGAAAAAACACAGCCCCTACCATACAACCCACGGTTTATTCAGTGATGGGTCGCTCCTCTCCTAAAAATTAAAAATTGTTAAGGAAAATCTCTATCATGTTTTGAGAAAAATATTTCTTCTCCAGTGGGATGTCAGTTGAGCCCCTAAATTCATCCATGTAATTCTCATCTATGCTGAAAGACTGCAGATGCAGTTTTTATAAAGATCTCTCCTTTTTGAAATTTACAGAGCTATTGGTAGTAGTAGTTCTTAATACCACACCGCGTAAAATACACACGATTCAGTGTAGTTCCCTCTACTTGGAGTTTGAAATAACTGCCTTTACATTTAGTGAATTTTTATTCTCTTACTGGATATGAAAGATGACCAGATCCCAACTTCTGGTTGCTGCTTTTTCCTCTCCTCCCTACCTTGATTATCAGCCATTTTCTTGAAGAAATCTCCATCTCAGACTCAGACCTTCCCCATCTCAGGGACAGTCAGATAGCCCATGACCACAGCTGTATAAATAAAAGCTTGGGACTTCTGGCTTTTGAAGCAGATATGCATTTTCCGAAATACACTTCCTACAACCTGTACTACTTTCCATGTCACAGTGCAAGCAGCTTTGAAGTACTCAACATCACTATGTTGGCAAGAGGGCTTCTCAAACATTTTGAAGCAGGAAATATACGGGGTTGGCCAAAAAGTCCATTACATTTTTTTCCCTATGCTGGCTCTAGTAGTGCTTAGTTGTCTTTAACTTCGCTTGAAACGATTTTGTTAGATTGTATTGTGACAGCTGTCATATCAGTGAGCATTTTAAAAAAACTTATCAAAATGGGTGAATTTTTGTGCAGCTACTTAAATATTAAAGATGGAATAAAATACACATTTTTGGTGTATTATGCTTTATTATTTCTAGAAAGATAACAAGGCAACTGAAACACAAAAAAAATGTGTGCAGTGCATGGAGAAGGTGCTGTGACTGATCGAAAGTGTGAAAAGTAGTTTGAGAAGTTTCTTGCACTACTAACATTTTGGCCAAATAATTTTTGCTGTGGGGCTGTCATATGCACTGGAAGATGTTTAGCAGCACCCCTGGCCTTTCAACACTGGAAGCCAATAGCAGGAGACAGCCAACATACTCAAAATATCCAAATCAATAAAGTTATTGGTGAAAATGAAAAATGTCTTTTATTTTACGGGAAAAAAAAAACCCATGTGGAGGCCAGCCTAATACTTTCTGGTTCCCCAACCCACCAACCAGAGGTCTGCTCCAACTGTCCAGAGTTGTAAAACACAGGATGAGATTTATAGTTAAGGAAGTGCAAGTGCATATTGTTTTCACCTATTTAACGCAGAGAATTCGCTCATCTGAGTGGGAAGAAGAGAAGCTGCTATTAAAGTGACTATAAATCTAGGGTTCAGCTAAGCATGTAGTCACAGACTGGAGGACCTATTCCACCTATCCTAAGGCGAAGAAGCAAAGAGGAGGGAGAAAATGCAACGAAGTCTCAGCTTTTGTTGAGAGCCAACAAGCAAAATAGAATTACAAGGGAATACAGGGTGGGGCAAAAGTAGGTTTATAGCTGTTCATATAGAAAATGATACAATAGTCAATTAATAATAATACTAGAATAAACTCTGTGTTTCATGTACTCCCAAGTTTACACCTACTTTTGCTCTGTCCTGTATAAAAAATTACCAAGAAAAGACCATAAAAAGACAAAAGGGAAGAATAGATAAACAGTGGGTGGGGAAACCCAGGTACGTTTTTCCTACATAAATCCCTCTTTACCTGATGTTCCCAATTGAGAAAACATATTCCTTTCTGAGGTACTTTCTTCAATCATCAGAATGACCCACTGAAATATTTAAAAACCTGAGATGTCCTGGGCAATGCTACTCTGCAAATAGCTAGACTAAAATCTCAACAGTAACCAAAAAAGTCAACGTGACAAAATGAGAAGAAGACTTGCCACATACCCAACCTATTTCTTTGAAAGGAAATCCAGGTTTACCTTTTGAGATTAAACTAACAAATAAGTAAAAGTAAAGTTACTCTCTTGCTTAATTATACAGATCCTGTTCTAAGTTAAAAAAGAAAGAAAGCACAAAACCACTTTTTTTGCAAAACCACTTTTTGATTTGATCTTTTCAATGTAAGAGAAAGGAAGTGGGAAACGGGGTAGGGGAAAGAAATAGTACCTGTGTGAAAGTGAGCTACGGAGATTAGAAAATAAAGTAGGTTAAGTAAATATTCATTCAGGATCACCAAATGACAATCTTTCTGAGCTCCTTGTGATAAAGTACAGAAACCAGACCTTTGAGGGATATGAAATATCAAACACAGTATGAATAAATCACTGTTTCCATCAGTTTGTCTTCACCTGGAAATTTTCCAATCAAATATTTTTTCCATTGTCAGTATTACTTGGTACTTAGACAAAGATTGGCAATAGAAAATTTTGTAATCTTTGCAACCCTCTCTCGTCCTTGACCTAAACAGTGTTCAGGTCCTTAAAAAAAAAAACCCACGATGGGGAAAGAAGACCAATCTATTCATCAGATCCAAACATCCAAAAGAAAGTTTACGGTCCTCTAGCCTAGAGACAAACTTCCATGGGCAACTGGACAGCCCACCACGACCATCAAATCCTGGTGAACATTTTGTAATGAGGACATTAAAGTGATGACTAGGTCAGCAGATGTTTTCTCATTGTAAAGCAGTCCATTTAATAAGCCTACCTGCTGATTTTGGGACTACAGGTCACTTGCATAAATCTGCAGGCCTAAGTGAAAACTACCATTCAGCAATGGTTAAGATTGGTACCACACAGTTATTTCTTGTTCTTATTCCTAACCCTGAGGGTGGCTAATGATGGGAAATACAACAAACATGCTTAAGTGTCAAAACCATCACAGGAGTTACAGAGCTGACTGCCAGAAGTGCAGAAGATAGTCCACTTTGATCCTTGCATCCTAATACCTGAAGGCAATTCAAAATGAAAAGAATGTGACATAATGTGCAACACACCCAAGACATTAACTATGTTCAGCTGTGTGAAGCACTAATTCCAACACCAATGGACTGGAAGCTTCTTCCACTCACAGCTGGACATTCTGACATTCTAACAATGTCATGGGACAGATTTAATAAGAAGTTTAGATCACACTTATTCAGTAAATTGGGTTCACTGAGAAAAACATTCTTCTTTACCACACACTGGACAAAATTATTTGCAATCGTGTTAGCAGGAGGAAGAAAAGGCACTGATCAGCATTTTTAAACGACCCCTGTCTAAGCCAAATGGGAGGCTCAGAGGCATGGCATTACTCACAAGCAAAGCACGGTCTATGTCATGTTCAAGTGGACCACGCCAGAAATAAGATATGAGTTGTGAGGAGACAACTACTCAAGTCAAGGTGGTTACAGAATATGTATTCGATACTTGGCTACCTAGACAGCCACAAGGATGTTGATGGTTTTTACTGGTACCAAATTGCTTAAGCCGGCTAAAGAGTCTCCTAAATATCTCTGAGTAAGCATAAACAATATCCTAAGCTTCTTCTTAGAAAATTACATTTTAAAAAGCAGGAGATCTTTAAAAAATTAAATTTACTATTAGTCGCCCAGACTTTTTTTCAATTGTGGCATTATATTTCTCAAAATGAGAAAACTTGACAGAACTTTGGCATTTTACTTGATATTTTGCTATCCCAATAAGGTGAAAGATTAGAAGATATTTGCTCATGAGTCCTTGAGGCAAGTTACGACTAAGAAAGTTATATTAATCCCTGAAAGGGATGAAGGCTTCCTTGGAGCAGCCCACGCTCTGTGACACTGATTCACGGAAAACCGGATTTTCTTGATCCCTGACTCTTAGGTTCAAAAGTCCCCCGAAATCAGCATCTAGCTCAGCAAAGCACACCATCAACATTCCCACTTCTAGAAAGCAAAGATTGGGATGCGGGGCACATAACCACCAATCAGAAAGCCAAGGTAAGCAAAGAAAGTGAAACCAGCTGAGAATACAAACTAGGGGATTCAAGCGCTACCATGTCCAGGCACTACCTGTAAAAGACAGTAAGACCAACAGAAAGAGTAATCCAGACAACTAAAATGGGTTTTACTAGCTACCAGCAGTCATGCAGATGTGGGGCGGGGGACCTGACCATTGCCAAAGAAGGAAAGAGGAAGCCCGTATCCGGTGTTCATTAATATCAGATCAGAAAGGAACACATCTGGAGCTTTCATCCCTGCCCCTTAAGTCACTGCTAGTGGGCCCTCAGCTCAATCGTATCAGTTAACTTCTTGATCTCCAAACCTCTAAAATGCATTGCAAACAGCTGCTAGTTCAAAAGAAATTTAATGATACGAAAGCCTACAGATCCTACTATGTTTACCAAATTTTTTTTTAAATGTGAAATGCCAAAATAAAAAAAAGGACAGATCCATCTTTCTGGTTCACATCTGCAACCTTCCTCTTCCTCCTCCTGTTCCTCTCCTCCCCATCCTATTCACGCGAACCCAAACACTAACAAAGTGCTCAGCCTGTTGGAAAGAAAGTTTGGGTACTATCCACACAGGTAAGAAGTAATCATGATGACAAGGCAGAGAGAAAAAGAACAGCAGCAAGTCAGAGCCCCATTGGCTTCTGCCTGTCCTGACTGGCAAAAGCAGAAAGCAAAGCCTCAAACCAGTTCTCTGACAGGGCCCAGCGCCTCTGCAGCACCCCCGTGTAATTACACACTTGAGTGACTGGACTCTGAAGAAAATTGAAGGCCTGAGCTCCGAACAGCTGCCATTTTCTCTCTCCATCACACCAGCGTGATTACTTGAGAAATGAACAGCCCCGGCTCAAAGCTACTCCAGAATTCTCAGAGGAAATATGGCTCCGTGTTCCAATAATGAGATTCTTAAGGCAAGCGTTACTTACAATCACTCCGCAAAAGGAGCGAGCCGAGCCCCTATATCTTACAAATTAGAATTTAAGAAACCCAGCGACAGTCTTGGACGATCATTACTCTTCTGCTGCTCCAAGGATTCTGGGCTTTGGTCTATTTTTAGTGCAGAAAACTGTTAAGTCCTTAAAAACGTAATCATAATAAAATGAAAACTCACCATAATTAGCTTCCTAAAAAAGCAAATTCCACCCCATTTTAGGGTCAGACTGACAGATTCTTCCACTCCCTCATCATTACCATTTTCTGCCAGAAAGTCTTGGTTTTATCGAAATGAAAATTAGCAATCTTTGTATTAAAATTAAAAAGAAAAAAGTCTAATCAGAGATTTTGTCTTTCTTTGATTGAGAAAAAAATCAGTCATGTTGCCATAGATAATATCACCTTTCTCAAAAGCTGTCACTTGGGGAAAGTGAAATATTACATGGTACTGATATATATATATATATATATATATTTTCCTTTCAAATGCATCTTCTGGTTTCCCCACCATCTAGCATTCTAGGGTAGCAAAGGTAATGAACTCTCCCTGTAATTAGATACTTTTAAAAGTATCTAATTTCTAAAAAAAGCTACCGTATTTTTTGGACTATAAGACGCACCTCCCCACCCCAAATTTGGGAGGAATGATGGTTGGTAATGCTGCTGCTGAGTTCTGTTTACATTTGCATTGGTGAAATATTATGCTATTTATGTTATTAAATATTTTACCACATTTTTTGCTTCAAAAAGTTTTTCCCTATTCTCCTCCTCTAAAACCTAGGTGTGTCTTATGGTCTGAAAAATACGGTATATCCTAGAGAGTTAACCAGCTTTGCAGCTAGCAGCTAACGAATCAGTGACACTTCTGTTAACCAGAGACATTAAGACAGATTCCCCACATTCTGAACTATGAAACAAAAAATAGCAGTGAAGATTTATAGTTTCTTTCCTCCAAGAAGGAATGATGGAATTAAGGTACCAAAAATGCCAATTCCACAGAGACAAGAAAGGAAACTCTAGAAGCCAAAGGTACTCTAGTCCCCCCAAAAAGACATACATGCAAAAGCAAGGCAATTGTTCATGGGGTAGGGGAACTCTAAGAATAGCCCTATTGTTCTCTGATTCCTAGAATTAACTCAAACAGCAAAATCTAAGAATGAAGGATTTACAAACCATCTTTAAAACCAAAAATTCCACCCAATAGTCAAATATATGTTAGTCCTATTCAAACCTATTAGTCCCACCTCTTATTCCCACTTTCTACAAACTCTCATTATTACTAGTTATGGGCACTAAAGTACAAATCTACTACCAAAACAATAACCCGAGCTTAGGTTTCTGTAATAAAACAGAAAGGGACCAAAGAAGATGCAGAATACATTTAAGCAGCTTTCTCTGGTGGGGGAGGGGCAGTACGAATTTCAAATAGTTGTTTTTTTGTTTTTAAGTTTTGGACTTGAGAGCCATTGCTGACATTCATGGAACAAACAAGACTTCTAATGAAAAAGTACAGTGGCTGAATAAGACTAAATTTTAAAGCTACTGTCATGAGTGACAACAGGAATGAAGAAGCACAGGGCATCTCTAAGTAGAGTCAAGAGATTTGAGTTCCTGTGCGTGATTATATGCCTAATAGCCAGAACGATTCTTTCCTGACTGGGGCAGTTTCCTTCAGGTCAAGGACAAAGGAAGATGTGAGAAACTGTTAGTCCACAAACCAAGCCCCACTCATCCCACAATTATAAAAGACAAGCATTTTTCTCTTGACCACAGCCATCAAAAGGAGAAATACCTTTTTCATATCATTAATCATCCTTACAAGTTCTGACAAATTGCACTTACAATAAGCATTGTGACCAGAAGATTCTTCTTGGTGACTTGAGCGTGAGAGAAGATATAGTTCAGTACAGCGTTCATGTCACTCTTATTCTCCTCCCGAAGGGCGAACACACATTTGTCATAGTGACCTGCAGGCAGCAAAAAGAAATGGTCCTCACCCGTCTATGAATGTTCACATTTACATGCTATTTATAATTCACCTGATAGGCTGTGAGAGGAAATATCCTAGAAATCTTCTTGGAGGAATTTGGACAGAATTGGCAGTGTGGTTTAGCAAAAAGAAGACTGGACTAGGTAGGAGGCAATCTGGCGTAAGACCTGAGCTCAAGGCCTAGTTCTGTTGCCTGTTTACTATGTGCTCCCGGACAAATCACTTTACCTCTCTGAGCCTCATTTTCATTTAAAAAAAAACTGAGAGGTAGAGGAGGGCGTACCGAGAGGCTAAGGGGTTCGGGATAACTCCAACCACCCCACCCTTACTCTAAACTCTCTCATTTAGTTTCCTGGAACAATTTCCCTAGAAGAGAAGGTTCTGCTACTTAAAAAGAAATGGCAACACCGTTAAACCCAAAGATCTTTAAAGTGTACTCCAACTTAGGAGTCTGGTTCCCTGTTTGACTCGCTGAAAATGTTTCCCCCTAACTAGAAGGAATAATTTTAGTTGAAAATAAAACCACACAAACTTATTAATACCCACAGGAGGGATGGCTGCTACCTCTGGAATCAACGCTTTTCCCTTGTTAGTCCATGAAACAGCTAAGAAATGCCTAGGAATGCCAAATCCAAACTAAGGCATAGATCAAGGAGAGCCCTGCATTGAGTCGAAAGGTCTGCAGGGAGAGCACAGTTATGTATATTTTCATTGGCCTTTCATAGGGCCACCAGGGGCAGGTTCGATCTGGCCAGGAAAGCTATGTTTTGCAACAGAAGCATAAGCTTCAGATATACTGTGATGATATCTACCATGAGATATAAACAATAGTCACTTCTTCAAAAAACAGCTTACCTCATAATTAAATTTCCAAGTAAAGGAGAATTAGTGTTTGAGTAATCTTAAGGGTTGGAATTTTATGAAATCATAACAATACTAAGTGATTATCGCCTCAGTTCAGGATCCATGTTAAGTTATAAAACAAAACAGTGGCATTCAAACTGCATTACCAGGGATTCCTAGAATACTAACTACACTCAACCAGGGCAACTCTGCTTTTATCTGTTTTAAATATCAAAGACTGATGTAAGATTTGTTTTTTCAAAATGAAACTAAAAATATTTGAAAAACAATGGACTACAATAACTAAAAAGTTGCCAATTTAATAAAAGACCCATTTAGAACAAAATGGAGGCTGTTTAAAAAGTGGATATCCTATATAGATTCCTGTTTCTCCCAACCAAGACTTAGCTTTGAAGTGACAACAGAAATATTTCTTGGTAACAGGAGCTACTAGGACCAGGGGAAGTAAAAAAAGAATATTTACCCAGGGGAGAGACACTACACAAAAAGAAAGCAATGATACCAAGTATTTTCTTTTTGAAACTTTTTATTGTGTAATATCCACACAGAGAAATAAATAAAATAAACATCCATGTAACTACCACCTTTCTTAAATAGAACATGTTTTGGTCCCTTTTAAGGTTCCTATTAAACAACTACTAAGCTGAATTGTATGTTAATCATTCTTTGGCTTTTCTTTACATTTATCACAAAAGTTTCATCTTCTCTGTTTTTCAACTTGGTTACAGTGGAATCATTGTGTATGGACCTTTCCCTGAACATTACATTTTGAGAGTCATCCTTTTGTTCACTGTGTGCCCTGGGTCATCATTTTCACTGCCATATAGCAATCCACTGTAGAAATACACTGTACTAAAATTCAATTCTCTGTTCTACTTGTGTATATTTAAATTGTTTCCTGTCTTCCTTACTATTGTGAACAATGTTGCCACAAACAGTCCTATGTATGACTCCTAATAAGCATGTGTAAGAGTTGTTCTAGAGTATATTACCTAAGATGAAACTGCTAGGTTGAAGAGGATACAGAAATTCAACTCTTCTATTAAGTATTGACAAACCGTCCTCTAAAGTGGTCTGCTCTTTGGAAATTTGCATTTCCGCTTACAGAAGCAGTGGAAGCAGTGTGCCTTTTTAACTCTTGCCAATCTCATTGTGGTTTTGGCTCACAATTCTCTAATACTGAGATTGAACATCTTTTCAGAAGTTTGTGTTTCCCTTTCTGTGAATTATCTCTTTATATTTTTTTAATCTTTTCTCTATTAGGTTGTCTTTTACTTACTGATTCGTAGGATTTCGCTATAGACTGTAGATACCGATCCTTTCTTAGGTATATGTTTTGTAAATATCTTCTCCTACTGAGTGGCTTGTATTTTCACTCTTTTCATGGTATCTTTTCATAAAGAGAAGTTCTTAAGTGGGGTCAAATTAATTAACCTCTATCTTTATAGGTTGCATTTGCTGTGTCTTCTATGATAAAACCACCTTACCCTGAGGTCATAAGGATATTCCCCTAAAAGTTTAATAGTTCCGCCTTTTCAGTACATGTTTAAGTATTTAATTCATCTGGAATTGATTTTTGCATGTATATGGTATAAGGAATGGATCCAATTTCTTCTTTTGGTTTTGCAAATGAATGCTCTGCTATAAAGTAAGTTTTCACATATGTGTGGACCTATTTCTGAGATATTATGTTCTATTGGTCTATTAATCTGTACCGACACTAATATTATCATCTCTTCATTAATATGCCTCTATATTTAATCTTGATATTTGACTGGACAAATCTCTCTGCCTTATTTCTCAGCTACTTGATTACTGTCAGGCTTCTCTTTCATGAAAATTTTAGAATTAGATTGACAAATTCCATGAAAATACTGTACTAGGATTTTTATTACAATGTTAAAAAATCTGCAAATTACTTCAGGGAGAATTAACATTTTGCAAGTATATATTCCAATCTAAGACCATGATTATTTATTTAGATTTTCTTTATTATTGTTAACTAGTTATAATTTTCTCCAAAAGAGGCTTGTACATTTTTCATTAGATTTATTCCTTAGTGTTTATTATTCTGGGTTGCTATTTTAAATGGTACATTTTTCTAAATTGCTTTTCTAAACAACTGTTCTACTATAGAGAAATACAGGGAATTTTATATATTGACTTTTGTATGTAGAAACCTTGCTAAACTTAAAATCATTCTAATAATAAATACGCAGATTCTTTGAGGCTTTCCAGGTAGATATCATGCCATATCTAACAGAGGCAGATTTATTTCCTTACTCCTTTCCAGTCCTCATAACTTTAATTCTTTTTCTTGTCTTACTGCATTAGCTACTACATCCAGGATGATGCTGAATATTAGTAGTGATAGCAGGTGTCCTTGTATTGTTCTTAATCTTAAAGAGAGTACTTATAACATTTTACCATTATGTATCCTATAGATTTTTGTTGGAGAATCTTAACATGATTGAAGAAATTCCATTTCATTTTTCACTTGCCAAGAGTTTTCATGAATGAATTTAAATTTTGTCAAATGCTTTCTTCCCCATATCTAGATATGATTACCATGTTTTTTTACTCTTTTAAAGTTATTACATGATAAATTACATTAATCGGTTTTTCCAATATTACTCAAGCTTACATTAGTGGGATAAAGCCTACTTGGTTTTGATGTATTATTTTATACATTGCTGGATTCAGTGTGCTAACATTTTCTTGAGGATTTTTGCTGGTTATAAGTGGCAAAGCCATCTTTTAAAGGATGCAAGCTAAAAGAAAATGTTAGGTAGTATTTCAAATTATATGGTGTTTCACTGCCATCTTGTGGCAGCATGCAGTATCAGCAGTATATACCCTTCAAATCTTAGCCAGGCTGTTTCACACTTCATACATCCTTTAGAGCAGCTCTTCAGAGAAAGCCAGGGATAAACTCTACCTAAAAGATACACTGAAAAGAGGTGGAAAATCTGAACCTTTTTCAGATCCCTGTGGTTCAATCCCTGGATTAGCTGCTGACAGGCAAGCTCTTCAGACAGGGTTTCTCAATTTCACCCTGGTCAAGATTTAACCATCTCTGTACAAGGTCGAGAAGATATCAACAGGAAATGCTAACCTCTACTAGAAAAATTATCCCAGCCCTTTCCCAGAAGCACATGGATTCATAATCTCATCAAGCTGTGTTTTGCTGTTGTTCTTTCTTTGGCAGTAGTGGGATATAGAGGTTTAATTTTTAAGGGAGCTGGGAAAGGAGGAAGAGTTTGTGAATGGTAAGTGTCAGTGACAGGGCGAACTGGCTCGGCTGTTGCGCAGCCCTACAGGGACGCTTTCTCAGACAGGGTCCTCAGGAAGAGGCTTACCATTCTGGAACTGCGTCTCCACTCGCAGGTACTGCCGCAGCAGATCCATCACCACAGCCTTCATGTGGCCTCGGATGCCACTTCGGTACCTAAGCAAATAGAAAAAGTCTCCACTGAACAACCTGACAGGCTTACACTATTAAATAACAGACTATTAAATAATAAACCCAGAGCCCAGATTGACTTTCCATACTTTTCACTGAACTGCTTTCCCTCTGAATATTGGGCAGGACAGAGGCCAGCCTATAACCAACTAGCCAGATTAATTCAAATCCTAAGCCTTAAAGAAATCTGGCTAAAGACAAGATTTTTTTATAAAGAGAAAGGAAAAAAAAAGGTGACCAAAAACCACTTGATAGCCCTGCCTAACAATAAATGGGTTCACTTCCCACTGGTAAGTAGAAATGATTACCACACCCGTGAAATGGCTGAGAGCTGAAAAGTTTATGAGTATCTTCCTTTGGCCAATAATTGGCTTCATAAGCTAAGAAGAAAAGATGTAACATTGGGTCCTATGCTAGAAGAAAAATTTGGGATTTCATCAAAATTGCAAGGAAAAAGAAAAGGAAATTTCTGTGCCTTAATAATTGACAGAAAGATGTAGAATACAAAGAAGTCATCAAAAATATTAAGTATAAGAGTTAGCCCACAATTCTAAGATACTTATTTAGAAGATATAAGATATTTTCCAAGATATAATAAGTGCTTTCTAATTTAGCTAAGTCAAACCTGAAGAAAATCCCTTTCTGACTACTTAGAAGAAAGGAAGGTGTGAGGATGGAGAGGTCTGGGAATCTGGAGTTACATGTAACTACCTCTGTACCAGCTGGACGATACTCTGAGTGTTCATGAAGAAGACTTCCCGTTCAGATTTCCGGTTCAGTGTAGCTGCATGGCTATCTAGGATGTTGGCAATCTAAAGCATAAGAAAGAGAAAAAATGAAGCCCAACTCACCAAAGGGAACCAAAGTATTAACCTGTATAATAACATCACCACTAGGAATCTTCTTAATTATAACATATAATTTATCTCTCTTATATGGAGCAGCTAGAGGTTACTAAGCATAGTTTAAGGGTTTGTATTAAATAAGCGAGCAACTTTTATTTCTTTTCACCCTTTCCCAGATGAACTAATGACTGTATCACAAAAACTATCAGAGTCCATGACAAGCAAGATATGCTAAAGGTCCAAACTTTACTTCCCACTTGCCTGGCTTTATTCCCTACATGTAAATTTGCTTTACAGCCAAAGGAAAAGCATGCTATTGAGGTGGTAAAGAAGTCTTTGATAATAAAACTGTGAATACCCCTCTATTTCAGATTCATAAAAATACCTCTGGTTGAAAGGCAGAGTCCCAGGAACAAACCTATATGGAATACATGGCCAATATCCTTTTCTCATAACCACAGATACTTTACATTTCACTTGCAGTACTTTTATTGGACTTGTATTCTGAGGCAGTTTTTTTGAAGGAAACAATGCTTTACAGTGTAACAACACAACATCCAGATAGTAAAGAGGAGCTGAACAGGAAAAAACCCCACAACATGAACTCCAGAATTGGTAGCCATTAGAAAATGATAATGTCACTATAAATACCTGCTGGCTGGGAAACTGACAGAGGACTGATGTGATGTTGCTAGCATACTGAGCCATTTCCTTCTTAATAGACTTCTCCACGTTGGGGGGTATGCGGCCAGAGACACTGGTCATGATATCTTGCAATTCTAGGAGAGGTAAGGAGGGATCTCTGAGGGTCTTCATCAACCGCTCTACCCAGTCTTTTACCTAAGAAGAAGGAAATAATAAAATAGGATCCAGACAAAAATAAGACAACCCCCAAAATAAAATGATATATCTGAATTCACTATCACATATCAACTTACTTTGAAATTGCAATAAAGAAATCTAACGTAGTCCTTGCTCTCTGGTTTAGTTCCCAATTAAATGTGAAGTCAATGACATGGATAAGAAGCAAGAATTTAAAGACTTCAAATCCCACAACTAAAGGGAAAAGAGGTCCATCTAAAAAAATCCTTATGCGACTTTTAAGCTATCTTGGAGAACAGGTGCCTTACCTTATCTGTATATCCCTTCCCCAAGAGAAGCAATTCTTACCCTGCTGCTAAAGAAAGGATCTGGAAGGCAGTATCCATTCATCACGTTGACCAGATTATCCAAGACATAGTGGAACACTCGATGGAGCTTCTCGCCTCGAAGTGCTGTGCTCTGGATCTGTGGCAGACTACCGGTGTGAAGCTCAGCCTGTCAGCCCCAAACACAAGAGAATTCAAGTCATCTATTACTTTCTATGCAGGGTACAAACATACCATTGCAATTTAGAATCATCATTTAAAAATCGACATCCTTCACCATTCACAGCTCTAAGGAAAGAAGTCAATGAAGGAAGCCTCATGAAAAAAAAGTCATAGAATCTTATTATCATAGTAAATCCTGCAAACTATAGTTTCAAAATATATAAGGCAAAAGATCAGAGGGGAAAAATCTTAAGAAAAACTGGCAAACCAAACACTGAAATCATCTGCCCCTCCGAATTAGCCGTCATGTAGTTAGCTCTTGGAAAGCACTATTAAAAGTACCTTCCTACTTACCTGCTGGACCTTGCTGGGGTTATCCAACTGCATTTTGGCTATTACACAGCCCGGATCAAGAGCTGCTCCAGGCCGCTTGACGTAATGAACACAGCCAGACTCTATAGCTGTTAAAGTCATTACCATCTTCATCACCTGTAATGAAAAATAAATAAAATTAGAATTTGACTTCTCTTTACACAGATGAATGATTTAAAGAGGTCAGTTTTTTTCCTCAACATCTAAGTTGAACTGTATCTTATTCAACCCAGAAAAATGGAAATTGATCAAAATCTCCAAGAGGCTACCAAGGAAGACAATTAGAAAATGTTTCAGGACCTAGCTTCACGGATTAATGACAGCTACTAACATTTCCTGTTTTTAATGTTTACATTCACTTTGCGATAGTTTGTGTTTGTACTTGTTTTGTTTTTGGAAGTGATGAACAAATTTAGCCTTCTCATACCCTCAGATCTAAATGCTCTCTTTGACTGTCTATATAAGATACCCAGGCCAAAAACCTAAGAGTCATTCTTTATTCTTCTTTCTCCCTGATTGAACAATTATGAAGCCCAGCCAAATACATCTTCTAAACCTCTCTCGAAAATCTTCTCTGGCCAGCTGTTTTATTTAGGCCCTCATCACTTCTGGCCTAAAGTGGCCTCATCACTTCAAAACCTCCCAAGAGATTCCCCCGACTGCTAGACACTTCCATCAAGGTCACTAAAAGCAATTACCACAGAGGCCAAATCTTGCCATGTCACTTTTCTTTTTAAGTATATTTTACTGATTACGCTATTACAGCTGTCCCAACTTTTCCCCCTTTCCTCCCTCTGCTCAGTAGCCCCCTTCCCTCTAGCAATACCCCCCTTAGTTGATGTCCATGGGTCACACATGTAAGTATACTGCTCTTAACATCCCCCTATTTTGTACCTACCAATTATGCTTCTTAATCCCTGTACCTTCCCCCATTCCCCTTTTCCCCTCCCAGCTGATAAATGTCCAAATATCTCTATTTGTGATTCTATTCCTGTTCCAGTTGTTTGCTTAGTTTATTTTTGTTTTTGTGTTTTAGATTCAGTTGTTGATAGTTGTGTTGTCATTTTACTGTTCATAGTTTTGATCTTCTTTTTCTTAAGTAAGTCCATTTAACATTTCATATAAGGGCTTGGTGATGGTGAACTCCTTTAGCTTTGCTTTGTCTGGGAAGCACTTCATCTGCCCTTCCATTCTAAATGATAGCTTTGCTGGATAAGTTATCTTGGTTGTAGGTCCTTGCTTTTCATCACTTTGAATACTTGTTGCCAGTCCCTTCCTACCTGCAAGGTTTCTTTTGAGAAATCAGCTGTCAGTCTTATAGAAACTCCTTGGTAGGTAACTCTCTACTTTTCTCTTGCTGCTTTTTAGAGTCTCTCTTTATCTTTAACCTTTGGCATTTTAATTATGATGTGTCTTTGGTGTGGTCCTCTTTGGGTACAACTTATTTGGAACTCTGTGCTTCCTGGACTTCTATGTCTAATTCCTTTGCCAAATTAGGTAAATTTTCTTACCTAATCTCATCTTTCTCATCATTTTTTTCAAATAAGTTCTCAATTTCTTGCTCTTCCTTTTCTCCTTCTGGCATCCTATGATCTGGATGTTGGCACTTTTGGAGATGTACCAGAGTCTTCTTATTCTCTCCTTGATTTTATTGAATTCTTGTTTTTTCATTCTATTCTGGTTGACTGTTTATTTCTTCCTTATGCTCCAAATCATTGATTTGAACCCCAGCTTCCTTCCCTTCACTGTTGGTTCCCTGCAGATTTTTCTTTATTTCACTTAGTGTAGCCTTCATTTCTTCTCTTATGCTTTTGAGTAAGTTCTCTGCGCATCCTTATCACCAGTGTTTTGAACTCTGCATCTCATAGGTTGGTTATCTCTGTTTCACTTAATTCTTTTTCTGGAGTTTTATTCTATTCCTTCATTTGGGCCATATTTCTTTGTTTCCTTGATTTGGCAGTCTCCCTGTGTTTGTTTCTATGTATTAAGTAGAGTTGCTCTGACTCCCCTTCTTAGCACACCTGTTAAGTTATATGGGGCAGAGCCTTAGGTATTTGCCAGGGCAGGGCAACACACCTCACTGCTTTGTAGGTGTGGGAGAGGTTGGAGAGGGGACAATGCCACTGCCTGGCTGCTGGAGGTTTGCTTGGCACCTGCGCCATTTCCAGTCTCTTCAAACCCTTCCTGTATGCGACTAGCCTCCTTTAGCTGCTGCCCCAGTGGTGATATCCAGAGTGAGAGGGTTTGCATATGTTCTAGGAATTGTGGACCCTTAAAATGGGCTCTCCCAAGAGACCAACAAGTTTCTCCCACCACGCCAACCCCCAGCAATTTTTATAGCCAGAAGTTATGAGGCTTTATTTTCATAGCTCTGGAACCCTGGGCTGTGTGTGCAGTCTGGCCTGGGGCTGGGATCACTCACTCCCAAGGTGTCCCTCCCAAGGTGTCCCTCCCAATGTTCACCCACCACACATGAATGTGGGACCACCCGTTCGGCAGGCTGCCACCACCTCGCCACTGCCACACTGCATCTTCTGTGCCACAGCTCCCTGTCTCCACCCCTCCTACCCATCTGGATGAATATGGCTTCTTTAAATCCTTGGCTGACGGACTTCCATGTGGTTCAATTTTCTGGCAGTTCTGGGTGTTTTTTGTTTTGAAGTTAGTTGTGATCCTTCTTAGGGTTGTACAAGGAGGCAAAGCATGTCTACCTATGCCTCCATCTTGACTGGAAGTCTCATATCACTTTTCCATATAAAATCCTCCCAAGGTAATCTAAGCTTTCTTAGTATGCTTTATAAGGTCCTTCATTATCTCAGACTCCATTTATTGGGCATCTTTGCTTGCCATTTCCCATTAAAACTTATTCCATTCTCAAGCAATACCAATATGTACTTGCAGTTCCCTAAATATACCATACTATCTTGCTTCTGTGCCTTTATTACATGGCTGTTCCCTCGCCTTTAAACATTTTTCCCTGTTCTTCTTCACCTAGTCAATTATTATATCTCTCTCAAAACTAAGATCAAAGACCCCTTTCAGCAGGAAGTCTTCCCTTATTAACCACCCCCAACACTGATTTGGGTTAGGTGGTCCTCTGTATTCTGTGTCGGCTCTATAAGAATTCAGAATTTATTACTTGTCTGTTTTGTGTTCCTCTTCTACCTATTATATATTTTTGTGTATAATTAACACTTAGAACAATACCTAACACACAATAAGTGCTGATGCCTAGTATCTATTTTTAGAGCTAGAGATTCCTCATCTGTCAAAGAAAAATTATAAGCTTTGTATTTGATGTTGAAATCTTAAGGTTCCTAACCCTCATTAAATTAACTGATACTCTTTCCTGTCTATTTTCTATTTACTTTCAGTTACTCTTCAGTCCTAGCCCATCCCAGACAATTCCATTCCTACCTTCCCTCTCGTGACCCAAAGCCCAATCAGCCCCCTGACCTCAATCTCAGCATAGCACTGGCCAGCAAACACATGGCCTCCGTCCTCCACAATGTACTGGATTAACTTCCCAGCAGAAGGTGACCGCATCACTGAAGGGTCATTCTCCTTCTCAAACACACAGGTTTTATTGCCAATCGTGATGCGATATCTAGAAGATAAGTGGAAGTATGTAAGCCAATAAAGCACCTCAGGTTGTAACAGAGAGGTAGAATAGTGCCAATCTTAAAAAATATAAAAGAAAGAAAGAAGAAAGGGAGGACGAGAGGAAGGGAGGAAGGGAGGGAAAACTTTACTCCATACAAATACATGCACACAGGATATTCATTCCATCTTCATTTACAATGCCAAATAACAAAATTTGCTTCAATAAGGGTCAGGATAAATCAATTATGATATACCCATATAATGGAATGCTATACAAAACCATTACCAAAGGCAGGTACCTCTATTTTAAAAAAACACACAAAGATGATGATGATGTAATAGCTAACATTTCTTGAACCCTTACTATGTCCTAAGTACTAAGCATTTTTTACATATGTTAATTCATTTAGCTGTCACAATAACACTGATTGTTAAGGAAAAAAATAAGATGCAAAACAGTAGCTAAATACTATTTTTATCTATGAAATATCTATTTTTATCTATTTTTCCTTTAAAAGAAAAACACAGTATGTACATATATGTAACTTGTAGATGAATACAAAATTTCAATACATGAGAACTGTTAACAGTGGGTGCTTATAAAGGGAACTTATTTTTCATATCTACCCACATTGGAGTGGCAGAGAGACAATGTTTTTCATTATAAACACTTTTTGTACTCTTGGGATTTTTGTTAAGTGCGTATATTATTTTTTAATTAAAAGAGAATACCTTGGAAAATCCCAAGAGCTAGTGACTACTGAGAGGAAAAGGTGATACAATGGCCAACCACTGGCCCTCATGCAGCCACTCACCTATCCACTTCTTCCTTCATGTACGTGGTATAACTGCTGCCATCATAGGACAAGAGCAGTCCTCCATCACTCAGCCGATGCACATCCACCTCCACACAGGAGCCGTTCATGATCACCACATAGGAGTTAGGGGACTGCCGAGTCACCTGGGAAATGAAAACCACCGGGCACAAGTTAGTATCCCTTCAAGGTGGAGTCGCAGAAAAAAATTCAGTCAAAACTATAGGAAAAAAGGATCTATCAGAGGAAAAGGAAATTCATGGCACTGGTGCCCTTGGCATTGGTGTCTGTGGGCAGGGCCCAGCCCTGCTTCAAGCAAACAGGGTGACCTTACAAGCTTCCTGGTCAGGTTGCTCTGTCTCCTTAATCTCTTGGTTCTATATGTAACATTGAGGAGCAACCGAAATATTTTCAGAAAACCATCAAATATTGCTTCTGGCTTTTGACACAAATAATGACTGTAATTTCACTAATACAGCCCTGCAGTGAACCAAACTTTTCCCCGTCTCTTGACCTACAGGAAGCAAGCTAACAAAGAGAGACAAAAAATAAGGTATAAGCTTCAGTGGAGTTCAGCATACCTTAAGGACATATTTGACTCCCTCATAGATAAGTTCAACATCTACAGTGTTCAGAAGTGTATGAGCAGGAAGGACTTGACCCCTGAAAGAACAACAATGTGAGATACACTTAGTTCTAAAAAGCTCTAAAAGTTTATAAGGCAATCCCAAAGTTTATTGATTATAGCAATTCCTGGAATATCAATACTGGAAACAACCTAAATGACTATCAGTATTGGGCTGATACATAAATTATGAAAAAGCCATATAATGGAATATTATGCAGCTATTAAAAAGAAAAACAAAGCTTTTGTACTAATATAAAATATTCTCAAAATAATGAAAAAAGCAAGTGAAATTGTAGAGAACAGTTTCAGAGTATGCAACCATTTGGGTTTTAAAAGAGTAGGAGTGGGAAGAAACAACTATTGCATTATATATTTATATAAATGTACAATGTCCGGAAGGTTACAGAAGGAACTGGTATATGGACTGACTACAGGGAAGGAAACTGGATGGACCAGGAACAAAGGTAAGAAGACTTTTCATTGTATGCTTTTTGTGCCTTTTGAATTTGAACCATGTGACTATATTACCTGTACTTAAAAATAAAAACTAAAACTTAAAGAAAAACGTCCTGGCACAACCAATCCTAATCTCCTCCTATCAACTGGGATGTTATTTGAGGTGTTAAAGAAAAAGCAGCAGGGCACAGCTGGATGAAGAGGGAAAGACAATGCCAAGCAGGAAACATCATTAAAGAATTTGATAATAATAAAGAGAGGGAGTGATAGAGCAAGAGGGGAAGGTTGTGAATAAATGGTGAATCTGGGCAAAGAATACACGGAAGTTGTTTAGAGTATCTATGCCACTCTTCTATAAGTCTGAAACTACTTCAAAATACAAGTATTCAAAATAATGTTAAAGAGGAAGGGGAGCTTGTAGAGGAGATTACGGATGACATATCTGTACACTATAGAAACCATTTAATGAGATAGGGACTGCATGCTACGAAATAGAAATCTGTAAGACTGGACTGGTAAAAAGGGGCCAAAGTATATAAGGAGTTAAAAGTCACACCTAGGGGTTTAGATTTCATATAAAAGGGTAAAATGAGCTTGTAAAAGGTTTAGTGCGTCAGAGTAACAAAGTGAAAGACATTTATCATAAGACTTGAGTAACTGTGAAATCTCAGTTCAATTTTCTTTTCTAAATCCTCACCTGAGGATATGCTCACTGATTTTATAGAGAGAGGAAGGACAGAAATTTCAATGTGTGAGAGAAACATTAATCAGCTGCCTCTCATACATGCCCCAACCGAGGACCGAACCTGCAACCTAGGCATGTGCCCTGACTAGGAATCGAACCCACAACCTTTCAGTTTACGGGACAACACTCTAACCAACTGAACCACACGGCAAAAGCTCCCAGTTCATTTTTTTTTAATTTTTCTTTTCTTCCTTTCAGATACCTCAAAAGGGAGCTGATGGAAGTCTACAACACAAGGAAACAAAGTGTCTGTGATTAAAGATCTTTAAAATGATTAGACCTGCCCTGGCTGGTGTGGCTCAGTGGACTGAACACGGGCCTGAGAATTGAAAGGTCACTGTCTCCATTCCCAGTCAGGGCATGTGCATGGGTTATGGGCCAGGTTCCAAGTTGGGGGTCCATGAGAGGCAACCACACACTGTTTCTCTCCTTCCCTTTCTCTCACCCTTCTTCTCTAAAAATAAATAAATAAAATCTTTTAAAAAAATATACAGAGAGAGATTAAAACAATTAGCCCCTGAGACCATTCCTCCAGGTACTCAAAGGCAGAGCTTAGTCTCCTGAATCAGTGTTAGAAATTAGTTCAGCCCCATACAGTCTGATCCTCTACTTGAAAGACTTGAGAGGTTACCCTGAATATAAGCCTCAATTATTATTTCTTAAAAGGCGTTGCAAGTAAATATAAAATATTCAGGGTTCAATGTTAAAGAGAAACACCCAATTTCCTTCAGCAGGGATTAGAAAAATGTGATGCTTGTACTGGACAGAACATTTACTTCAGCAGGATTCTAACTGCAGTATAAGCTAATTTCTAGAATCTGCAGTAGAGCCTCAAATAATTTGCCATGAACTCCTACATCCCTTTTCTCCCGTGCCCATGGGCCAGTGAATAACAGGTAGCAGTAACAAGCTGCCAGAAGCAGGGAAAATAATAAATGGGTCTTTGAACTTCACTTCAGCCCTGTACTCAGGTCCACTGGTTAACTTGCACAACCTATGAGAAACAAAGCCCACCTTTCCAAGGAGTGAAGGAAGTTAGAGATGCTATTCCGCAGGCTCACATCAGCCACATGGAGAGCCCCACAGACAACTCCCAACAGGGTGTCAGGTCGCTCTGCCTGAAAGGAAGAAACATGGGGCAGATTAAAAGCATGGTTACTTGGACCATGGCCTCTCAATTTAAATCGGGCTCAAAGTTGCTGTGAAGATACAGCCAGCATAGAGAATCTCCATCCTTACTGCCAAAGTGATTTTTGACACAAAAACACATTTACTTTAGAATCTGAACAGAGGCCTCATTTGAAGAGAGATGAAAAACAACTCTCTCTAGGGTTTCCACTGAACCAATCAGAGAGCAGCTCAAATACAAGCCTTTGTCTGAAATAAACTCAAAAAGGTAAAGATATCTGGCTACTGATAACCTCAAAGAAAAATAGTATATAAACAAAATTTGAACTTTCAGATAATTTAATTGAATCTAATGATTTTTAACAAAATCTTGGGTAATTTAGAGTAGCCTAGCAATTCAGGAACGAGGGGTAACTCTGCTGTTTTATATGAAGCCCTTCTCATCAGCATTTGTTAGACTAATGTAAGAGTTGTTAACTCTAAGCCAGATTTAACACCAAATGAGGAAAAGAAAAAATTTCAATCCCTCTGTGCCTCTCTGCAAACTACTATTACATATAAAACGACTGTGTAACACAGGCACAAGAACTCTTACAGTGCTAAATTACACTGGCTCCTAGATTTTTTTCCAAGTAGATCAAGAACCATTTACATTAGAATCAGATAAATTTTATCTAGTGACATAGACCAATCACACCACAGGCCTATAAAAACCCTACCCCAGGAGCTGTTTGTGCAAATAAAGCAATACACACCTGTACTTTTTCTGCTATCAGTCTGTCCAGCCAGCCAGTGTCAATTCTATTCAACTGAAAGCTTTCAGTCTCCAATAATTTGATCAGGTATTCAACAGTAGTTCGAAAGTCACCTCGAATAGACAGCTCCTTCAAAGCCACCACCATGTTTCTGGGAAAAGAACAAAAGCGGACCTGTTTCAGCAACAAAAGTTTTAGTGTTTTTCAATCATTTTAAAGAATTGTTTCATTCCTTTGGAGTCTTAGGAGGGAGCGGAGAAGGACAGACAGTTCCAAGAACAAAGAAGGATGAAAATATAAGTTGCTCATTCACATGCATTCCAGATGGGATAATTTATAGTAAGTCAGTACACTTATGAATTCTGACTGACACTACCATGAGTGCATCAGCAAATCACATGCATTTCATTACATGGAGTACAGGACAAATTATGCGCAGCCCTCAGCTTTCACTTACTAGGTTTCCATCATTCCATTCATTTGTTGATGGCTAACTGGAATTAGAACATAATTCTCCTCTCCTTACACCTTATTTATTTTATTAAGGTATAATTTACATATAATAAAATATACTTAAGTATACTGTCCAATGAATTTTCATTCATGCTCATATATTAATTTAAAGGTTTCCATACAATGAGGCAACTGGCCGGTTAGTCAGCTATCAGCCTGACACTTCATGTGAGGGTGTTTCTGTTAGCAGCATTTCAGATGCCTGGGAAATGACTGCTCATTCCTTTTAGTATTCCTCAATTAAGTGTCAAATAATCCAATCTTAACAGAATTTCAAATACTATGGGTTTTTTGTTTGTTTTTTTGTTTTATTTGTTTTTTGGTATATTTCTGTCCAGTGTCTATCCCTCACAGAACAGGTCCTTACTTCAACAAATACTTACTATGCACCTCACAAAGTCAAGACACAAACTAGGCTCATAAGGGAGAGAGAATATAGACACGAGTGCCATTAGAGAGAAATAAGAAAAGTGCTAGAGAGGTTCTAAGAAGGGGGAAAATCCACCTCTCTGTGATTTCATGAAGAATGTAGAATCTGACATGGGATACAAGTAGAGCTGGGAATGTGACTGTGGTAGAAATAGGGTTCTAGGTGGTCCAGGCATTCTCTCCGACTATTTTTCACTTTTCCACCTCTACCTTCCTCTCTACGTCCTCTCTTGGCCTGGCTTATTTTCATATACTTTTTTTAAGATTTTATTTATTTATTTTTAGAGAGGGAAGGGAGGGAGGGAGGGAGAGAGAGAGAGAGACAGAGAGAGAGAGCGAGAGAGAAACATCATTGTGCGGTTGCTGGGGGCCACATATACTTTTTAGAAATCAGTTTAGATGCCACTTCTTCCTGGGAAGTCTTCCTGGACCCTCTCTAGACTGAGTTAGCTGACCCGGCTATATGTTCCTATAACATCCTTACATAAGCCCACTATCATAGATAGCAACTTTACATTGTGTTTAATTGTTTATTTGCCTCTCTTCCTCTGGATTCTAAAGTTCCACGAAGGCAGAGACCCTATTTTTGTCGTTCTTTTATTGCCATCAACAGTAGATATTCAGCAAATATTTTTTTGACTAGAGTGAATGAATAAATGGATGGAATATCAAGAACAAAGCGAAAGAAGGAAGAAAATATAGGTTGTGTTCAGGGAACTATTGAAGCAGAGAGTATGAGGACAGGAACTAGTGGCAAATCCATTCATTTAACAAACATTTACTGAACACTTACTGTGTTCAGGGAATACAGCAGCAACAAAGTGAACATGGTCCTGTTCTCATGGTAGAGCTATTCTAGAGAACAAGAATATGATGAATGCTATGAATAAAAAAATATATATATAAGAATAAAAATATGAGTATGAAGAATGTTATGAAAAAAAGAAGAAACTCTAAGCTGAGGAATGAACTTTTGGCATAAAGTCAAGAAGCAAAATTACTGTAAAGATCATATTTCTAATATTCTAAAAGTTAACATAGTTAGCACCACACCTAGTTAGAAAAAATGTACAAAGCAGGTCAGGAAGTAAAGAGCAAGGCTTCTGGACTAGGTCATAGGACATGTCCTGTAGAAAATACTCAGTGGTCGGCCTAAGCAGAACTGTAAACCTAAACCCCAATCAATAAACACTACTTGGAGATCGTAACTGACTGAGGCAGACTGGGTGGGGTCTGTGTGCACTAGAGATCATGTTTCTTCCAAAGGAAGCAGCCACACACAGCTTTATTAACTTTCCCAAGTGCAATATAAAACCAATGTTGTTATTATCATCCCATTTTTAAAGAGAAGGCAGAAATCCATATATTTATTTTAATCTCCCAGTTTCTAAATACTGGGAATTTTAAAAACACAAACACTTTGTAAGCCAATCAAACACCTGTGGCTGTGATTAGTTGGAAGATCACCAATTTGTAAACTCCAGCATAAACTTTCTTCACTGTGATTTTTTTAAAAAAGGGCAACTTTATATACCAGACAGCTTTTTGGTAGCATTGCTTTAAACTGGAAAAGCTACTTATAGAAACTTCCCTACTTCCAAAAATACTACTAAGACCCAACACTATTAATAAATACTTATTGATTACTACTCTATGTGTACAGTCCAGAAATCAAAGGAATGGTATTAAATACTTGATATAAGGAAATAGACAATTAAAAAATAGAATTAGCTCGATTTTGGATCTATATTCTAAAATATCTAAATGGTCAAAATTACCTCCTAGAGCCATACTTTTTAGGCTAGCAAAATTGCTATTTAGTATTTAATATTTATGTTTAATATAATATTAACAAATAACACTTATGATATACCAGTTATATTTGGATAAGCTATATGCATATTTTATAGTATACTGAGGTCTCTCATATAAGCAATGGGGACAGTTTCTTTATGTCCTTTATATGTGAGTTTAATTTTTATTACTTTGAATGACTATAGGACATTTACAGCTGTACTTTTATTTTGATGACTAATAACAGGTCTTCTCTATGATTTATAGGATGTCAAACTTTTGGTCAAGAACATACCTCCCTCCAGCAACATAAGAAAATGATTTCTTTAAAGCAATCAATTATATGTTTATCAAAAATATTTTATGGGAAGTTCCAAAGATGCCGGCTGAGTACATGGAAGCTGATTTGACTTGCTCCTGTCTCTGACCTGGATTTGCAGCTGATCTTCCAACAACCAACTTGGACAATCAACAGAATCTTAGCAGATACGAAGTTCTGAAGCCAAGGAATACAGAAGATGCTTTGTACCAACCGGTAAGGGGGTTTTATAAACAGAAGGGGAAATACCCTGTCCATGGCTCCTGTTGCAGCTTTGGAGCTCCCTCCCCCCTTGGAGCAAGGGGCCTTAGTTCCATGCAGGGATCACCAACCCTAATCAGGGTAACCTGGGGGGATCCACTGAGTCTGTGAGACCCAGGCTACACACACAGTGTACAGTGTTCACGCAGCTGAGGTGCCAACCTGGAGAGCTCCAGATAGGGGGCTCAGACTACTCAAGTGACCAGGTTGTCACACCCAGGTTTGTCAGAGGCACCTGCAGGCTGCAGCCAGCCACAAATTTGAGCAACATCTCATTCCGTGGGGAGGTCGTATATGCGGAGATTGAGACACTGACTCAGCATTGTGGTACGGGTACAACACAGAGACTTTAAAAGGCACTGAAAGGTGGCCAGGCAAGGACCTGGGCAGAGCTGCCCTGCCAGCAGGGACCAGATTGAAAATGCAGCAGTGGAGCTCCCTCCCCTTTTAGCTGTAGGGCCATAAGGATTCTTGCAGCAATATAGAGGCAAGTGGAGGCTATTGGCTCTCTGGTGGCAGGTTGTGGTGAGGTTCCACCACACCTGTGAAAATCAGAGATTGCAATTCAGCATAAAGTGCTTCTGTGTTTTGGGCGTAAAGCTGAAGAGATCACAATACAAATTCAGATTAAGAGAGGAACCTAGACAAATGGAAAAATTGTTTTTTTGACCCATTCTGAACTTTTCTCAGCCATGCCAAGTCATGCTGGATCTCCAGGTCCTTTCCCACTGAATCCAACTGGGCCGGAGATTAGAAATTTGCACAACAAAGGTTTTCTGGGCCCTGCCAAGCTGAGTTCGAAAGAGGCTGCCTGGAACAGAGTTCTGGACTGCACCTCCTGCAAAGGCTGTGGGATGGAAATTAGGCAAGAGTTAAGCATCTGGGACACTTGGAAGCCAGGCAAACCACCCCACATAACACAATCCTCTGGGAAAGGAAAAGTGTGCCCATCCCCCTCCTGCAGGGTTGCAGGCAACACCTCCAATGGGGAGAATCTGCAGAACAGTCCTGCCAGGTACAAGACTCCCCCACTAGGTGTATTTCCACAGGGAGAGAGAAGGAGAAACTTCAAACAGGGACTCTCAAAATATGAGAATTTTAGAGGATATCACCTGGGAGCAGGATAGAGAGCTTCACCTCCTACTGAGTCTTAGATTGAGAAAGAAAATTTAGTCCCCACCTAGTCTGGTCTTGCTCCAACCCCAATGGGAGGTTCTTTTGATCTATCTCCCAAAGTCCAGAGCTGCTGAGCCCAGTCCTGCAAAAGGGGAAGTTTAATGTACTCATCCTGAACCAAGAGTGAACCCCCTGAGGAAGCAAGAACCCAAATTGGCAAAGGGTTGGCTCTGCTTAGGGACTACTCTCCCCTCACCGAGTGCCCTACGGACTGCAATTACTACACACTGATAGCCCTATTTCAACAGACCTGGTCTCAGTTTACAGACCTTTATCAAAAGGTTCTGGAGAAAACCCAGGCAACCACAGGGAAGGGCAGAGAGGCTGAAAGAGGGAGGCCAACCCCGGGAGCTTTGGCTCTTATACAGAGCTGCCATCGGCTCCAAGCAGGAAAGAGCTGACTCTTTTACATAGATTGGCCCCACATACAAAAGACAGCCAACTCTTTAGCAACTATTCTCTACTGGAAATAATCTGGGACAGACCAAGACGTGTGGCACATGGACAGGGGAAAACATCCACCATCTTCTCTGAAGTCTGAACAGCTCCCCCCAAGAGACATCCAGCAGTCCCATCTTCCAGATTGTGCTAGATGTCCTATCGGAAACAAATGGGTCAGTGACCAGCCTAAGACTAATAGCAGGACCACAGATATAGGC